ATTTAGCTCTAAATGTCTAAAAACTATTGCATAAACATTATGCAGGTCCGGTCAAGCCTATTCTCACAGCCGTCACCTGCAGTGTTGTCTACAGGTGGATGGCCTGGGGAAGGAATATCCTGACATATCATCACTGTTACTTCTACATGAGGGCCATTATCAAAGGTCCCATAATGGGCTTGAACTTGGAATCCTCTCAGAGAAGTCGGACGATTTTCCCTGGTCATAATCTCTTGTAGGCATACACAAACTGGATTACATGAAGCTATCAGGTGTTGCAGTTCTTCCCAATTTGCATGAATTCCCTGACAGTTCCACTGGATTAAAGTATCCAGTTCTTCAGGTTGATAAACTATGTCTTCATAAAGTGTTTGGCAACACCTGTGGTTAAGGCTCACCCCACACCTTTAGGTTGTACCTTTTGATGGGTTATTTACCTGTGGAACTAATTACCACAGGCTTCCTTTGGACAGACTCAGGACTTGTTTGCCTAGGCAAAGGACAGACCTGAGCCTTTGGTTCAGGAGCATTCTTTCTAGCAGCAGAGGTCCCTATACATGTGGTGGTAGCTGGGGCTGTCACCGTTGAGGCCTCTGGAGACCAGCCTGATGGCTCCAAAGACCCTACTCTAGGAGTAGTCTTTTGAATATGCTCAGGATTCCTCTGCCTGGGAAAAGGGTGTACCTGCCGAGCAGCAGAGGCCTCTGTGGATGTCGTGACAGTTGGAGCTGTCACCGTTAAGGTCTCTGGAGTCTTGACTGATGGCTCCAAAAACATTACTTTGAGAGGAAGATTCAGTAGACCCCTCACTCAGTTTCAGTATTTGAGGACTGAGGTTTAAAAGTAGTTGCAGAGTGTGTGGTGTAAGAAGTATTAGAAGGTAAGGGATGGTGGGAAGGAGGACAGGCTAGAACCGAGGCAAAGGACTTACCTGGTTGTGCAAACAGCACTCGGGCACGTCACTTTGCCTCTGGAAAGCTAACTTTCTCGTTGCTCCTTATTACCAATACTTCTTTTTTCAAACTTGTACCTTTTACATTGCTTTGAAGAATCTTTGAATTATCTTTTTTGCTGTGGTAACAACATATTGGGCCTGGACAGCTGTCATCTCCTTGATGACCTGTTGTACCACACTTTACACACACTCTCGGTTGTCCATTTTCCCTAAAATGGCAAGAGTTAGCTCCATGCCCTTAACCATGGCAGTGGAAGCACCACATAGGGTTGGGCACATATGGCCTTACCTTGAGGTGGTACCATACCGACTTAACCAGCTCTCCTTCAAAAGACTGTTCCAAACCATCAACTTTCTTCTTGAAATGTTTTACTGTCACTACATTAAATTTCTAATATATATATATATATATATATATATATATATATATATATATATATATATATATATATATATATATATATATATATATATATATATATATATATATATATATATATATATATATATATATATATATATATATATATATATATATATATATATATATATATATATATATATATATATATATATATATATATATATATATATATATATATATATATATATATATATATATATATATATATATATATATATATATATATATATATATATATATATATATATATATATATATATATATATATATATATATATATATATATATATATATATATATATATATATATATATATATATATATATATATATATATATATATATATATATATATATATATATATATATATATATATATATATATATATATATATATATATATATATATATATATATATATATATATATATATATATATATATATATATATATATATATATATATATATATATATATATATATATATATATATATATATATATATATATATATATATATATATATATATATATATATATATATATATATATATATATATATATATATATATATATATATATATATATATATATATATATATATATATATATATATATATATATATATATATATATATATATATATATATATATATATATATATATATATATATATATATATATATATATATATATATATATATATATATATATATATATATATATATATATATATATATATATATATATATATATATATATATATATATATATATATATATATATATATATATATATATATATATATATATATATATATATATATATATATATATATATATATATATATATATATATATATATATATATATATATATATATATATATATATATATATATATATATATATATATATATATATATATATATATATATATATATATATATATATATATATATATATATATATATATATATATATATATATATATATATATATATATATATATATATATATATATATATATATATATATATATATATATATATATATATATATATATATATATATATATATATATATATATATATATATATATATATATATATATATATATATATA